TAAAATGATTCAGGTTTTTTTGTTGTGTAAAGGTCATAATATCATGCTGTCTCTTATTCAGGATTTCAAATTGATCATCTACTTTGGACAGGGGGTTGTTTTTGTTTTCATTGATTGACAATAATTACTTATCAATTCTCAAAATATCCATCTGAATTGCATGCAATTATTTGAAAACAGATAAAAAGTTAAGGTACCTTTAAATATGATGATCGCTGATTTTGTTTTAATCTTTCTAGGACTTCTAAATTACCACTAGCTATATCTTTATCATCATCTTTTGTCTTCTGGTCACTGAATCAAGAAAAAAAGAAATACTTAATATTATTGAATTACAGGTATAAAAGCATTGTGTACGACATAAAATTCATGTGTACAAGCTCAAAATTATTTTTAATTTTGGAAACATACAGACAACATTCAACATTTATTTTTCTTCATCTTTAAAATCTAAAATTCTGACAGCAATACTTACTTCTGTACATCTTCTTCCATGTCATAATGAAACTCATCTTCTTCTTCCTCATCTGTACTTTCATTTTGATTAGAGGCAAAACTCTGTATAAATAAAAAGTGCGATCAAAATAGGCTAGTGTACAAATTTTAATTATGAATTTATGTCCCATCAAGAGGCATTCAAGTAAATATTTAGGGGGGGTGAGTAGAGGCTACAGAATTGTCAAGGTCATCTTACAGCAAACCTGTTAATACAGTATCACTTACAAACAGAAGCAGGAAAGAACTTAATCTTTGTCAGAATCAAGTCCCTTTACGCTGAAATGCAAGACACTCCTGTAAGCTATTTTATCATGTAAAATAAAATTATGAGCATGTATCTATTAAATAACATCTGTACCTTAGAATTAGTTTCCATGGGACAATGATCTCCACTACAATCAATTTTTGGAATTGGGAAATCATGGAGTTGAAAAAGATCGTTTACTAACATCTGAACTTGCTGCACAATCTGAAATCACAAATGAAAATTTATTCCGCAATATTAGTTAAAAATTAATTAATCAAATATTCTTTTAAGGCAGTTTATTAGGGTTTTTATGTAGATTTTTCACATTTAGGAAGTTAGAAATACTACTTGTGCATTGTGTAATTAAAAAAAACATCAAAAGATCATTCAAGGTAGGTATATAAAGGTCGTAATTGTTAGTTATTGGATCAAATAGCATAATTCAATTGAACAGCTTCAAGCATTATAATCATTTTAATCTAGTAGAGTCTTATACTTACATTATATTTATCAGGTGGTATGTCTATTAATCTGGCTATTACTGATGTCAGTGCCGGATCTTCAGAATCACTGAACCATATTGGTGCTGTTTGAGGATAGGTTTCCTTAAAAAATAAAAAAACACTGATTTCATAATTGGTAAGCTCACTCATTTAAAAAATATTTTCAATGTTAAAATAGTGCTCAATACATCAATTGAAGAGCAATACAGAAATATTGAAACAGAACCTAAAAATTCTCTGAGTTTCAGGCTATGCGATCTGCAGACAACTGACCTATTTTCAGCCAGCGTCCGTACTGAAGTTGGACAATATCAAGATATTGATATTGATCTAGAATGACACACAATACCAGAAACACTTTTCCTTTATTGCCTCCACACTCTTATGGGTAAATCTAATATTATTAACAGTATTAATCGAAATTTTTTGTAAGATAACATATCCTAGACACTCCTAAAACTTAAAAAAAAAATGCTCAAAATGTTCTCTGTAAAACTAATCTTTAAAATAATAATGGAACAATGTGTAAATTGTTTAATATCACAAAGACAAAGTCATTCTTAATCTTATTAGACTTCCAGTTATATGCTAATGGTACGGTACTGATATTCCAACATGCTAAACAGTTTACTTTATGCCTAGGGTCCAAAACAATATATTTTTTTGGTGCTGAATCTCACTTTAAGAGTTTTATTATGAACTTGTCAATTTAAATCTAGACAGTGAGGCATTAACCATCTGCAGCCTGGTGCTTATAATAAAAAAAAACAAAAAAGGCCTAAGCTAGACAAGCCTTTTATTAAAAGTATCAAGTTTTAATTGATTCCTTTCCTTTGTCTAAATAAATGTTTGTTTATAAAGTAAATAGGAGTCTTACTTAACCATCAGAGAGCAATAGCCTAGTTCTGTCATTAGATAACAACTCAACAAAAATGTATGAACCAACATTGTTTGCATCTTTAAATAAAGTTAATTGGTGTTTACCGTTATATTTGCATGGATATAAAATTGTTCATTATTTCTACCAATAAATCTGCATGACAGTTCATCCACAGAAGCAGACTGTATTTGGAACCGTTCGTGGTCTTTGGGAAATGCGCTTTCGAGATATTTAATGTCCTGTTTTAGTTTAGCCAAACAAGCCATTCCCAAAGTTTGGGATTAAATATTGAAACTCATTAAATGCACAAAATTATTTATTTCATTCAGGAAATATCAGGATCTCCATTTAGTCTACTGCACATGCGTCACTTCTGAAGTTTACTTCCTGAATTGGTTGCCTCGATTACCCTGTCAGCAGGTTATAGTTGTTTTGATAAATTTGGCCGTGGATATTCGCCACCCGGGTGGCGAATAGTCCACGTCCATTCATTTGACTATTCTCCACCCGGGTGGCAGAAAAAAATCTCTAAAAATTCATGAAATGTCATCAGCCTTTTTGAAATAATTGTTTCTTTCAGTGACATATTAGTCGACTCTGAGTAATTTGTAATGGATTTTGTCTGGTTCAGAAAAGACCGTGTTAATATATTATATAAATTGAATTTCTTGCAATGAAACGAAAGTAGAAATTCCGCCATTTTGTTTACACCAAATTAGCATACATCCCAAATGGTCCTGTTAGTGTTGCTATGAAATTTAGCATCATACGTTTGTATAAGAAATCCGTAGAAAAAAAATGAAATAAAATAAAGTTTTACGTCCTATTTCTGCACCTGTATGGGCTACTGAGGATGGGCAAACGCCATGCAGTGTGCAATGAGGGAAATTTTGTCAGGACAGCGACGTTAGCCTACTCTTATTTTCGATTTCCAACTGTCGGGGGATCTTTACGTAAGTAATAAAAAGACAAAGCAGGCGCGTGTCCAAATTGTGTCACATTTATCCTAGACGTATTTTCCAAGTTAGCCCGTCCGATCCCAAACATCGACAAGGGGAAATCGAGTTGAAAAACCCAAAGAATATCAATCCATGGTTGGAGCCATCGCGAATGTGTAAGTAATGTATGTGGGTGGTAAATACACTGCATTGGGGTGGGTGGAAATATGTATTTGAAGCAATAAGGTTTAAGGTATAAGGCGTACGATAATCCACAATACTGACGAGTGGTAAGTAATGTGTACGGGTGGTAATAAGGCGTACGATAATACACAATACTGACGGGTGGTAAGTAATGTGTACGGGTGGTAATAAGGCGTACGGTAATACACAATACTGACGGGTGGTAAGTAATTTGTAAAGGTGGTAATAAGGCGTACGGTAATACACAATACTGACGGGTGGTAAGTAATGTGTAAGGGTGGTAATAAGGCGTACGATAATAAACCATACTGACAGGTGGTATGTAATGTGTAAGGGTGGTAATAAGGCGTACGATAATAAACCATACTGACGGGTGGTAAGTAATGTATACGGGTGGTAATAAGGCGTACGGCAATACACAATACTAACGGGTGGTAAGTAATGTGTAAGGGCGGTAAACAAGAATTGGGGATAGTAAACAAGAGCTGAAGGAAGTAAGTTCTTGTTAACCATGGAACAATGTGTAAATTGTTTAATATCACAAAGACAAAGTCATTCTTAATCTTATTAGACATCCAGTTATATGCTAATGGTACGGTACTGATATTCCAACATGCTAAACAGTTTACTTTATGCCTAGGGTCCAAAACAATATATTTTTTTGGTGCTGAATCTCACTTTAAGAGTTTTATTATGAACTTGTCAATTTAAATCTAGACAGTGAGGCATTAACCATCTGCAGCCTGGTGCTTATAATAAAAAAAACAAAAAAGGCCTAAGCTAGACAAGCCTTTTATTAAAAGTATCAAGTTTTAATTGATTCCTTTCCTTTGTCTAAATAAATGTTTGTTTATAAAGTAAATAGGAGTCTTACTTAACCATCAGAGAGCAATAGCCTAGTTCTGTCATTAGATAACAACTCAACAAAAATGTATGAACCAACATTGTTTGCATCTTTAAATAAAGTTAATTGGTGTTTACCGTTATATTTGCATGGATATAAAATTGTTCATTATTTCTACCAATAAATCTGCATGACAGTTCATCCACAGAAGCAGACTGTATTTGGAACCGTTCGTGGTCTTTGGGAAATGCGCTTTCGAGATATTTAATGTCCTGTTTTAGTTTAGCCAAACAAGCCATTCCCAAAGTTTGGGATTAAATATTGAAACTCATTAAATGCACAAAATTATTTATTTCATTCAGGAAATATCAGGATCTCCATTTAGTCTACTGCACATGCGTCACTTCTGAAGTTTACTTCCTGAATTGGTTGCCTCGATTACCCTGTCAGCAGGTTATAGTTGTTTTGATAA